GGGGGCCCAGTGCGCGGGGTGTGGTCTGGGGCCGAGGGCTGCGGCGCCCGCGCGGGGCACGAGGGGCCTCAGGGTAGGTGGGAGGGTGCAGTGAAGCCCGGGGAAAGAAGTGGGCTCAGCGATCGGGGTGTGGGCCGCGGAGCGTGGAATGGATGAGCGAGGCGCGCGCGGTGGAGGCCCTGGTGCAGCGGGATCGCCGGCTGAGGCCCAGGGAGGTTTATTCACCCGGAGGCCAGACGCCGTGGGAGACGTTTGCAGTCACTAGTGGGTTCCGTGTGAGGGACGTCCTGACGCTCAAACTGGGAAAGAAGGGTTCCGCAGGGGAACGGGCCTGCGGAAGGGTTCGGGCACGGAGTTGGGGTGATGCAGAGCTAGGGTGTGCTGCCAGGCGGAGGTGATGCTGGGCCCGGGAGTGAGGAGGCGCTGAGTGGTGCGCGGGGAGTCTGCAGACCCGGCTCGCACTGTGCAGTCCGCAGAAGCAATCGGGATGAGAGTCGCTGTGCGGGCGGAACAGTGCGTCCTCGAGGCTAGACCTCCTGGCACGTGGGGCTGTGGATGCCTCTGGCGACTGAAAGGAGGATGTGGGTGGCTGAGGGTGGACAGTGGCCTGCGGGAGCGGAGTTGGGCCAGAACTCAAGAACTTGGAGCGTTTGGCTGCTGCCAGGTCCGGGGTAACAGCCACCAGTTTTGGAGGGTATGAGCCTTTCGGCGCCCTCATCTTCTTGTTCCAACTTGTAGGCCAGACTTGCGTTCCCTGTCAACCGGTGGGCGGAGCACCGCTGCGGGGGGGGCGGGCTTCGCGCGCTCTGCTTACCAATCACCGCTGCCTGGGCAGGGCCGAGGCTCGTGACGTAGGGCGGGCTGGAGAAGACAATCAGGCTACGCCCCCATCTCCCGCTTGCGCGCGCACTTGCCTCCCCCCCACCCCACCCGGCGGTGGCTTTCAAGAGGGGAGGCCCGGTGGAACTTGCTCACTTTTCCACGCGGGTGGGATCCCGGCAGTAGGCAAGCCGTGTGGTCACCGGCGAGCTTCCGCAAAGTTGGAAGGAACCTTCCAGAAGCGCTTCTGGTAGGGTGTGAGCTCGCAGGCGAGTGGTGCCGGGAGAATCCCACTGTGGGTGATTGCCCCGGGACAGAACTTCTGCGCCCGGAGTACGAGGAAGGCCTGTCTGCTGACAAGCTGCCTATCCAGAAGTCAGCGTTTTGTTCCCACACCCAAGCAAGTGACATCCTGGAACTGTGCATGGAGAAGGCGTCCCAGGTGCCCTTAGAGAGTGCGCTCGCCCAGGAGTGCTCTTCTCAAAGCACCTTAGGGACTCCGATGAGTATCTTGGGCAGCCAAGCCATGAAGCGCCAAGGGTCCTTTTGATGAGGAAGGCGAGCCTTAGCTTGTAGTCGCCCCGCTCCCGTCCCCCCCCCCCCCGCCCCCCAACACGGCATGACCTCGCTAACCCTCGTAGACGCAGACCCATTAAAGCCAGGTAGCGCCCAGGACTTGTCTTCTCATCTAACAACGCCTGTCCCACCTTGTGTCTGGGCTCACCTGCGCATGTGTTTAAGCCCTGTATTTCTTTGGCTAAGGGAAGGACCACCGGAAGCGATTTTCACACGTGTGGAGTTTCCTGCTTAGCTTTTTCTGTAGCAGTGATTTTGGCGGGCGGGGTAGGGAAGGGGAACCCGGCAGTAACAATTCTTTCCTTACCGTCATCCTCTACCATTCTCCGGGTCGGAAATCACCTGCAAGTCCCTCAACCCTCACCCCACCATCTACACCCATTCACTCTTTCTTTCTTTTTAAATTTAAATTTATTCTTTGAATATTTCACAAATATATACATTATATCTTGATCAATTCATCCCTCAGCTCCCCGCAGCAGCCCGTTCCATCTCCCGTCCAGTTTCGTGCCCTCGTTTATAATTATTTATTTGCCCTGATTGCAGTTAGCCTGAGCACATGGTTGTGGAATCAGCCACTGAGGCGTGGGGAACTCACCAGTGGCTACACGTCTAAAGAAAACTGACTCTTCCAGCGCCAGCAGCCATCAACAGCCCAGAGCTCCTAGGTGCTGAGGGGCCCCGCGGCCCCTCCCTACTCATTGCTGGAATTTTTGCCTGGCCTAATCTTGTGCAGACACCCACAGCTGCCCTGGGCTAACTGTGAAAGAGGGAAACTTCATCGCTCTCTCCCCTATCCTGCTTTCACATTCTGCCTCATTTTCCATGTGCTCCCTGAGCCTTGGTGCGTGCGTGCGTGCGTGCGTGCGTGCGTGCGTGTGTGTGTGTGTGTGTGTGTCAGGGTGAGGTGGGGGGGCTGTTGATGGAGAAGGCCCATGAATGGCTGAGCACTCACAGTTGCCTATTCTGGGCACTTTGAATAGTAATTCATCTCTGCATCGACCCCTGCCCCTGCCCGCCACAATAATAAGTAGCTTCCTTTTCATGACTGGGGGCAGCACAAATCCTGCATGGGGGGGGGAGGGGGAGAACTCGGCTTTTTGTCTTCCGAGTCCTTTTTCTCTTCCATCGTCAGTTCATTTAAGAATTCAATTTATTAATAGAAATCAAAGAAAAGTTTTACCCACCATCCCATCCTACCCTTAAACCAATCTTAGCTTTCCTCCATTTCTCCTTGCCATTGCTGACAAGATTTTTATGTGGGTATAAAATCCAAACTGAACCACATGTTTAAAATGATGGGGTCGGGGCTGGAGAGGTGACTCAGTGGTTGTCAGCTATGGCTGTGCTTTCGGAAGACTGGGGTTCAGTTCTCTGCACCCACATAGCAGCTCACAACCAACTGTAACTCCAGTCCCAGGGGAATATGCTGCCCTCTTCTGGCTTTTGAGGGCACTGTGTACGCATGATGCACATTCATATATGCAGGTAAAGCACACATAAGTTAAAAAATATAAATACATTTTACATGAGTACCTTTGTTGCACACAAAATATGTGGATGTGTGTGCACAAGTTATAAATACAACCCACTGAGTTCATCTTTGGTGTGTGTGTGTGTGTGTGTGTGTGTGTGTATAGTTTCAAAAATGACCACCTCGTCTTGGATAACCAATATGAGGGCTCAACCCTGAGACGGGCTAATTCTCCTTCTAGCAGGCATTAGTTGCCTGTAGTTCTTTGTCTAGGGGCGGGCCCTATGAGAGTTTCCCTCTTCTATGTTAGTGTGTCTATTGACGGTGCCATTGTTTTGGTATTGTTTGTGTAGCTTTTTGTAGGAGTAAATTATTAAAAATTAAATGTGTTTTTCATGTGGTGACATAATTATTATAACTATAATAAATAATTTCATAGTATCATAGGAAAAGTCTGAGATGATACAGTACATTGGTTTGCAGATGAAAGATTAAAGTATGTGCCCACAGATGGGAATATATACATACCTTAGTTGTTAAACTATATAGACAAGATGAATCAAACATAGCAAATGCACCAAAATAAATGTGGGAAAATGCTTTACTTATTTATTTATTTCCTCAGATTAACAGAAATCTGCCTGTCTCTGCCTCCCGAGTGCCGGGATTAAATGTGTGCACCACTACCACCTGGCTTCAGCATTCATTTATTAGGTGCCTTCTGTTTGCTCTGATCTAGGCACTGGGGATTATGGAGCTGAGCTACCTTGTTCTCCCATAGATCAGGCATGAGTATGGCTCTTCCTGTTTGTGGCTCTTTGCCAATTTGACAAATCATCCCTGGTACCCAGAGGACAGCTGACAGCCATTGGAGGTAAATCACATCAAGGCTCAGAGAGGCTCAGGAACAGTTGAAAGGATGAGGAGAAGTCATGTTTCCCTTGTTGGGAAAGGAGGGAAGTAGTTTCTGGACAGAGAGAGACTCCTGGTGGCTGGTCAGGTGGCTGCACAGCAGAGCCTGCCCTCGGGTCTGTCTCCTGGGGACACTTTAGGACTTGGATGAGGTTTCTCCAGCAAACATCTCTCCTTTCCTAGTGGGTACCAGGCCAGGGTTCTACAGGAAGTTCCCAGGAGCCTCACTCCAGCCTAGGCACGTTATGCCTCCCCCACACTAAATCTCTCTGCTTCAGTATTGCAGGCTTAGTCTAGTAGAAGAGGCAGGGGATAACCACTGACGGCAAGGAGAGCTGACTATTCTGTGTGGTGTCAGCTCAGAGATGTTACGTGGAGCCATTCTTTGGGCTTCGGTTTTCCGAGCTAGTGGATTTCCACATCCAGCGTGTCCAGAGAAGGCTGTGTGTGACCAACTCCAGACAGCCAGGCTGTGCTGCGGATTTAGCCTGGTTTTTTGAGGCAGGGTTTCTCTGTAGCTCTGGAGCCTGTCCTGGAACTAGCGCTTGTAGACCAGGCGGGCCTCAAACTCGCAGAGATCTGTCTGCCCCTGCCTCCTGAGTGCTGGGACTTAAGGCATGCATCACCACCACCTGGCTCACAAAAAGGTGTATTTTTAATGTATATGCATGAGTGTTTTATCTGTATGTCTTTCTGTGTGCTGTCTGTGTGCCTACTGTCTGAAGAGGCCAGAAGAGGGTGTCATATCCTCTGGGACTGGAGTTACAGATGGTTGTGAGCCACCATGTGGGTGCTGGGATTGGAACTCAGGATTTCTTT